AGGGAAAGAGATCATAATGTATTTGTGCAAATAAAGGAAAGGAAAATACCAAAGGATCTTTCAAATGGTTATCACATAACCAATTGGCCAAAAATATAAGAAGCTCACGTCCCACAGGTTCATCACCATGCACATTTCCAATATACTGCATCAGTTTTATATTGGTCATAATACAAGGCTACAGAATATTCTCAGGAAATTAATTAACACAGAGAAGTAAATATGGCATAGAGCACAAAAATCATAGCTGAAAAAGAAAAACACAACTAATTCATATATGAGTAAAAAATCCAATAAAAGAATAATTTATTAAGAGAAAATGCAACAACATTTTATTAAGCCATATGTACAAAAACATAAACATCAAAGAAAAGAATAACTTAGTAATTTTTAAGATTATTTTGCATCTTATAACAGGTTAGCTGAGATCATTACTTTAGAGGGGTGTTGAACATGGAGTGGGATTATCATGACAGATGTCTTTTACACACTTATAAGCCAATGGTTTCTTTTAGACTTCAAATCCTTGAATTATTCAATCACTTACCCCAATAAACTCCTGCCAGTTCAGTAAATTGATGCATGCATAATGCATTGGTGTTCCTAATAAAGAACAAAAAGAATTTGGAACATTACAATGTTGCAATCTATATTCAACAAATAAATCTCTGTATAATTGCCTCCAGCATCAAATTATCATGAGAAGTATCCCGTATGACACGGAAAGGAGAATTAGTGAACATAAATTCTAAAGTTATTACAGAGGTATTCCCACATAATACTATAGTTTATCTATTTTCAATGAAGTAATCAACTTTAGTACAGTGTAAAAAGGAAAGAGAATCAAGGGATTAAGATAAGTTGAAAAGCTATGTCAATATGCTGGTGTCCATTCCTACTATTCAATATGTCATTATATTATATTCTAACTTAAAATTTCAAATTGTCAAATATTTCCCAGTCAAAAGCAGCAAAGTTGAAATAAAAAAATATCATAAGCTAGTTGCATCACTGGTATTGGGTGGAAAACACTCACCTTAAATGCAGGTTTAGTTTCTTCATCACCTGGCTTGTCAGAAATCTCTATTGCCCACTATATGGAATGGAGGAAAACAAAAAAGTGACGACACTCACTTAAATGAAACTATTTAGATTCAAATGTAAGTTGCAAATGAATTTTAGAAAGAAAAAGAAATTACCAGTGGAACTCCATTTACACTCTTCCCAATACTGGTAGCCCATTCCAAGAATCCCTCAAAGAGAGAAACAAATTACAAGTCAGTTGAGCATCACAAGAAGCATGGTCTTTTCAAGAAGTTCATTTGTTCCAAGAAAAATAGTATTAATGAACATCAAGCTCTAATGTCCTTTGTTAGGCATAAATGGAGATAGACAATTAAGAAATAAGCACTTAAAGGTATAAGGAATCACCTGTATATCCTAGAAATGTTGCTGCATCTCTGTCCAAATTCTTTGATTGCCAATTCAAGGTCGGCATTAGACATATATCCTTGTGCCAAATCAACACTGCAAAAGAAAATAAATAGATAAATAAACAAAAAAAAGTGAAACGTACTATTAGAATTTAAATGCAGAACATAGCAATAACTAAATCATAATTGGTCAAAAGATCCATTATGATTACCTTGTCTGAGCCCGAGACTCATCCTCTAACAAACGCCTTGCAAGGCTTGCATTGCTACATTTATTGACTTCTGATACAAACATAAACATGCAGTTAGAAACTTCAAATTCAAAATTCCACTTTTCAAGCTACACAGCTAACGTCATCAAACTAATTATCACAACCATGCAGATTCTGCCCCCCCCCGCCCCCCCACATCATATGA